GGTTTCGCGCGACAACGTTGCGCAGCTACTTATTGATTAATACTTCGATATGTGAATAATTTGTAGAACCAATCAGAAGGTGGTGGGGGAAATTGGTGAATTCAAATTAGCTAAGGAATGTTTTTCACTTAATGGGCGGTCGCGATTTCATTAGTAAAAATTGAGTAATTTTGGCTTAAATTTTTGATCGTTGCTGTTGGCCAATCAAAATCGTAAATTTTCACGCATTTTTTTTGTAGGTTTAATTATATACTATACTAATTGCTATAATTTCAAGCAAGCCCAAAAATTTTTTATCGTACTTATAATTTTTTGGTTATCACATGAACACGTGTCTGTGCTATCGCTATAAGTCTATGCAAGAAAATATGGCATATGTATTTTAAGTGTTGATTTATGGCCGTAAAAAATTTTATTCTTATTTCTTTATAAATATTTATTCACTTTTAGATTGCTTTATAAATATTTGAAAAGGCCTATTTTGTGGTAAATTTGCCCAATAAGTAATTTCTTTTTGCTTATCCAATTTTCTTTAGAGCTTTACATTTTTATTTTATTATATTTTATTTAATAATTTTTTTTTTTTTTTTTTTGTGTTTTTGTAAAAAAATATCAAAAATTTGCTGGAGGACTTTTGCCTTGAATCATGATCCATGAAAGAAATACTCTGGTTAATCAGATACCAAGATAGGTTATTTCAATAAGACCTTTGGGTAAAAGCTTTGCTAAACGAAGTCAGCGCCCCTGGACTAGCGTTACAGCGATTCTATGGATCCTGCAGCAGTGACGATCGATTTTTGCATAAATTAATTCTTTTCCTAATTTACCATGTTTGCCAATATATGCTAAACTTTAGATATACGTAGTAAAATAGATGTACAGATTGCTAATTATTTAATCAGATAACTTTATTTAAATAACGAAAAACTCAAGGAGACTCTATTAGTTATCAATTATAAGCTCTATATCATACATGTAAGGATATCTAGACTCTAAAAATATTCCTATCTAAACAAACTATTCGTTTTATAACAGATTACAAAATTATAGCTACTAAGAAAACATACAAAAACCAATCTATTCATCTGTTACTTACCTATAGGCCCTTGCACTGATATCATAGCCTTATATCATAATTACCAAAATGTGGGGTTTTTGCATTGCCTACAGCAACTATAGAGCTTAATCACAACGTGAGATCCTTATACTGCTATCGTAATTGCGGTGCTTAATCACCAAACATGAAGTTCTTGTACCACCTGTATCAGCAACAGAATTTAATCAAAACATGAAGTCCTTGCACTGCTATTATCGTAGTTGCGGAGCTTGATCACCAAACGTGAGTTTTTAGCACTGCCTGTGGCAGCCGCAGAGCCTAATTATAATATAAGTTTTTAAAAGCATTATCACAATATGAGGTCCTTCATTGCTATCGTAGCAGTATCACCATACATGAGATTCTTATTTGATAATTAAGATTTAAATTGGGTGCCAAATACTTAGATCGATGACTGTAGAGTTCAGAACTGTTTTCCTAAACTAATAAAATCCGATTCCAACAAATGAACAAAACCGGTTTCTCAACCCCGAATTTTAGCTAAATTCTCTGCGATGAGATAATTGATATTATACTTATTGACTAAATCAACCTGGAAAGAGATTCAATTCGCAACAAATCAGCATGAATAGGAATAACTTAATGAGGAATATCTAATTTCGAATAATAACTTGATCAATAACAGCATTTTTAATAACAATGTCAAAACAGCGTCAATCGTAGATATGCTTACTTTAGGGATGAGCGAAATTATTACATATTCTTATTTAATATTTAATATTACTCAAGACTTTTGACAATAGATAATATTATGATAGTTCTCTTTTTTAGCTGCAAATTTACTTATTTTTCTGTTTAATGATCACTTCCGACCGTTGTCATGCGCTAAATCTATACGCAATAAGTAATACTGTAGAATGTAATATTACTTAATACCAAGTGAGGGATAAATCATTATTAGTTCCAAATTATTTTGCCCATCCATGGTCTACTTACATATGATGTTATGATTTAACTCTGATAAGCGATAATTAAGAGGCATTAAGTATTATAAAGTACCGTGTGAGTGAAAAGTTCATGACGGGATCGTTTTTTAATCTCTGATACAATTTTGATCATCATTTTAACGTTTATACTACTATTACCTAAATATAATAAACAATAATAAAATTCGAAATTGACGAAGATAGTAAAAAAAAAAAAAAAAAAAGACCTATCCAGCGACTTTTCACCCACCTAGTATATTCATTCAAGATCTACTAATTTAAATATAAATGCATTAATGTTTATCGAAATCATGAATTTCTGTTGCGTAATGTACCAGCACGATACGAGCAATACATCACACTCATTATTCAATCCCTTTAAGCAAATTAATATAGATTTAAAACCAGGCAGCGAAGCCGCCCACATGATCATACTTTAGTTGCAATTACAAAAAAAGACAATATCAATACCTGATACGTATATAATTAGGCACCGATGTAACAATGAGGCTGTGCTGGGCAAACAATGATCAGATCAATGGAAAAACTATGTAAAAACGTTATCATTATAAACGATAAAATTCTGAATTATAAAAATAATTTAAGGATTTTATTTTTTATCGCCATAGCGATGCATCACTATCCTCCTGAGACTTATTTGTTGCCCGCGTGATGTCGGGGTTTCAATATTCAAACCCCGCTTGTGATTAGTAATCTATAGTAATCTATATTACTAATCATAGGCGAGGCTTGAATATTGAAACCCCGACATCACGCGGCGCGACATTTAAGATTCGGGATTTTGATTTTCTGAATTTTTTGATTTTCGGGATTTTGATTTGACTTAGACCCGGGTGGCGATACATCGCTATAGGATAAATTATAAAGCCCTAAATTTAATTCATTCCAAAATTTTCAATAAATTATTAAATTAATTTGTTTAGTTCAACGTTTCTATAACAATGGGATCACCGACAAAATGGAACGATAATGACAAATCCGAACATTTAAATGTAGAATTTAATGGTCTTAGAGTTAGTTACAAAGGTCTGGGTAGAGATTGGTTCGATTCTGCTTTGATACGAGCAGATTATCCAATTCCAAAATGTGAAATATTTTATTTTGAAGTTAAAATTATAAATGAAGGCAAAAATGGAATTATTGGAGTGGGATTTTGTACTAAAACAACTGAATTATTCACGTTACCTGGATGGGGAGATAACTCATGGGGTTATCGTGGTGATAATGGGAATGTATTTTGTCATTCAAGAAGTGGTAAATTATATGGACCACTTTTTGCTACTGGTGATATTATTGGATGTTGTTTAAATTTTAGAAATCGTTCAGTATTTTACACAAAAAATGGTGTAAATTTAGGAATTGCTTTCGAAAATTTTATAAAAAATGAGGAGAAAGTGAAAATGATATAAAAAATATTTTATTGTATCCTTGTATTGGATTGAGATCTCCTGGAGGATCTGTTGAAGTAAACTTTGGTCACCAAATATTTGAGTATAAGGCAATGACCGACTATGACATTAAAAATAAAAGTTTGCAAAAAAAGTGGAACAAAGCTTTAAACATGTGCAATTATGAATCATTAAATATGCAAGCGAATTTGTTTGAAGAATTGATAAAATCGTTGAAATTTAAGCCAATATATAAAGGAAAGTTTATTTCATTATGGGCAGATACAAAGAATCACTCTCATGTTTAAAGAGTGTTAATAATGCATTTTCGTTAAGATATCGAGGCGAAACTTATTATATGATTGGAAAATATAATGAATCACTTAATGATTTTAAAAAACTATTAAAACTAACATCAAATGATGCATGGGTATTAAAAGCTTGTGAAGAAATAAATAGAGGACAAGAACTATATGAACAGGAGAATCTGAGGGCTCGAAAAGTAAAATTAAATTGTCCTGATTTAGAGAGAATAAGATTCGATTTTTTTTGGAATAAATTTTTACGTGAATCAATTATCATTGTGGAGGAGGAATTGGAAAGAATATTTTATGAATTATGGGAAGAACTGGAAATTGTAGAAAAGATTGAGATTAAGCCATTGTTGAGTCCACAGCAAAAGAGGGCGCTCATATGAAATAATGATTGGAAGCCAATTTTGAACAATCTAGATTTTGAATTTGAGGAGAGAGGTGTTCTATTATTTTTGAAATCAAAGAGCAATGAAATTACATCAGTTATAAAGGATTTGGAAAGACATGAAGAAGAACAAATGAAGAAATTAAAGAAAGAATTGAGGATTTTTTTTGTCGGAAATAAGGTCCTGGATTATAAAAGAATTTTTAACTTTTGGTGTCCAATAACTTATGCGTGCCCAATACATCCTTTTGTAATGCTAGAATTTAAATTCTTATATTTATTATATTTATTGTTTTATACAATATTTATATTTCCGTTATTAATATTGATTTTAACTGGCTTGGCTATAATAGTTTCTCCTATACTTATACCATTTCTTTTAATTAGTTTATATTTAGAGAAAATATTGAAAAAAGAGGAGAATGAAAGAGATGTGAAATTATTTTCATTTTTAAGAGGAAAAAGGGAAAATTTATTAAAGAAAAGATTTTTGAAGCAAAATTATTATGGAACCTGTACAAATTGTAAAAATAATAATAGTTATCGGGCTTGGTGCCGAATGTGTGATCCCCAAAAAGCAACTCAAGGGTGGTCAAGTGGAGTTGATAATGTTGATAGTTTTATACAGGGATTTCAACTTAAAGCAACATCATATGAAACATTAATTGAATGGATTCCATTCGATAAGCTATTTAATATTATAGGAATTGGCCAAGGTGGGAATAGTTTTGTATTTTCCGCAATCTGGCAAGATGGAATAAAAATTACAAAATATAATGAATACTTTGAGAAATCACGTGAAAATTCATGCGTAGTTGCACTTAAGACTTTATCTGGTTCGAACATTGATGAAATTTTGAATGAATTTAAAGATTATTTAGACTATAGATCAGTGGGTAGTGGATTTGAGATATATGGATTAACAAGAAACTCAAAAAATGAATACTTGATGGTATTTCAATATGCTAATGAAGGAAGTCTTGGTGATTATTTGGCAAAAAAATTTCAAAAGCTCAATTGGAAAAGTAAACTACAGCAACTTATACATATTTCAGCGGATTTAGCTCAAATTCATAATGCAGGATATATTCACAAAGATCTTCATAGTGGTAATGTTTTGCAGCATCAATACTATGGAAAAAAATTATCATATATTTCAGATCTTGGCTCATCTGTAAAAGCAGATAAATATATTGATGAAGGAAAAATTTATGGAGTTATTCCCTATGTTGCTCCAGAGATTTTACATAACCAAAGATATTCACAAGCAGCCGATATTTACAGTTTAGGTGTTATTATGTCAGAAATGTCAACAGGAAAAAGGCCTTTTATCGATTATAAATTTGATATCGAACTTATTCTAAAAATCATTAAAGGATTACGTCCAGAATTTGCTTTAGAAAGACCTCAATGTTATGTTGACTTGGCAAATCAATGTATGGATTCGGATCCACAAAAACGGCCTACAGCAATTTATATATCTTCTAAACTTGATGAATGGAAACAAGCTATTGAATCTTTTGGAAATAATGAAATTAAAAAACAATTCTTGAAAGCTGATGAACTATCCGATAAATCAATTAATTTGCAAATAAAGCAGTTTTT